GAGGGTGGCCCACTATGGGGTAGATTAGAACCCCGCCAAGGGGCTGAGAGCGGGGTGGGGTGGGGGGGGTGCCGTATATCAGTGGATGCCAGGCGCGGATGGAACTGAAGCGCGGATTAGCATGGCTGGCACCGCCCCCCTCTTCCGTCCCAAACCGCCCTTCCTAGCTGGTCTCCCCATTCCACTCCAGCTTGGGCCACCGGAACTTCACGGCCCTGGCGATCCTGGGACCCGGCTTTAACTCCTTTCGCCCCACTGTGGTCCCGGCTTGAACCAAACGGAAAGTCCCCTCCCTCGCCAGTATGGTGGTGCTGGCCGGCTGGGGGCTGAAGCTGTGGTGGGGAGGGTGTCCAAAAGGAGTCTCAGCAGAGACAGCAACAAGAAATCCTAGGGGCTCAGGAGTCCTATTGCCCTAGTGCTAATATCCCCCAAGCCCTTCCAAAAGGCCAGGGGTGGGCCTGGGTGAGGTCTGTGTTCCTCAAAAGAAAGGAAAAAGGAAGAAATGTGGAGTTGAAACAGGAGAGACTGGCAAAAATCAGATCTATGACCTCTTTTTTTTTTCCTTTTCCCTGTATTTTGGCCGCGCTGTTCGGCATGCAGGACGGTTCCCTGACCAGGGATCAAACCCGGGCCTCCGCAGTGAAAGCTCTGAATCCTAACCAGTAGGCCACCAGGAAACTCCCAGATCTAATGACTTTTGACCTAGAATTGCTCCCGCTTCATCCTTGAATTGGGGACAGATACCCAAGGCCTGAACCCCACCCACCATGATCTATGGAGAGAAAAAGAGTAGGGGATTCTGGCAAGAGACCTTAGTGCCAACTTGATTCAGGCTCTTTGTGGTGGTGGCCCTGGACGGATCAGCACACCTCTCCTGTAAGATGGGTTTGCCGGTACTGTGGTGTCTTTGTCACCTGGGTTTACTGGGAAGAAGAGGGAAATTAAATTAAATGATGGATTGCTGGGGTGTTTGGAGATGCTGTAAGGTGCTGTGCAGGGGTCAATCATGACAGGAAAAACTTACGTCCTTGTTTGACCCCTTCCAGGGCTCCACAAAGAGGAGAGATGAGAAGTAGAATGAAGATTTGTGCAGGTTCAAAGACCCTAAAGTAAGCCAACCTGGGAATTCCCTGGCAGTCCAGTGGTTAGGACTCCGCCCTTTCACTGCCTAGGGCCTGGGTTCAATCCCTGGTCTGGGGAACTAAAATCCCGTTAAGCCAGTGCGGCCAAAAGTAAAAAAAAAATACGGCAACCTGCTATGTTCTGCTGGAGGGGAGACTGTGGAACACACTGACACCTTTTCACCCTGGGTTTTGCAACAAGTGATGGCCAGCCCCAAGAGCCAATACTGAGCCGGGCTCCCATCTTCCCCTTGGGCACAGGAGAGCCTGGCATGACAAAGAAGGCATGGGTTTTGTAGTCAGAAAGACCTAGATTTTCCATTTCTGCTACCTCAGCTGTAAAATGGCGATGACACTACTTGTGTTGTGAGGAAGTGGCATAAATTTTGCATCCCTTCCTCTTTTTAATTTTATTTTGGGGGGTGGGGGCGCACCGCGCGACTTGTGGGATCTTAGTTCCCCCGAGCAGAGATCGAACCCGGGCCCTTGACAGTGAAAGCACGGAGTCCTAATCATTGGACCGCCAGGGAATTCCCTTCCCTTCCTCTTTTTGACCTCAGCTCTATTTAGCAGCCAGGAAAAGTTCAGATGATAGATACAGGATTATCAGCTGGAGCGAAGCAAGGAGTTAGAGCCAGAACTCAGATCAATGTTTCTTGGACCCTGGAATGTTCTCCATGGTTTTTTGCCTTGGATGCTCCAGAACAAGAGGAAATAACTATGAGAGGGCCTGTCATTCGATTTTTCTTTTTTAGACTTTCGCAACTATTCATTCACTCACTCGCTATTTCTCAAGTGCTTACTACGTGCAGAGCTCCATGGCCGCTGGAATAGTGTGAGCCAAACCAAAGACTGGTTCCCGCCATCAAGGAGCTTGTCTTAATGCCTTCTTTTGCAAGTTACAAACGTTAACTCATGTGATTTTCACAACTAGACGACGGATATATTAGAACTAGGTACACTATACACAAGAGAAAACTGAGGCACTGAGAGATTTAGAGCCGCAGTGGCTGAAAAACATACACTACTGTCTTTGGTGATCTATTCTGCACTCCAGGGGCTGCCAATTACCGGGAGAGTGAATAAAAGGTTGCTTTTGTCTGATATCTGCCCTTATTACTCTCTCTTGCTTCACTTTTTTCCCGCTGACAAATCACCCCTCCACAGAACCCAGTATGCCTGGGAGGAGTGGGCCGCTCTAGTAAAACTACTTTATCCCGCCTGCGCAATCTAGCTGACTTCCGGCTTCCACTGCCCACGTGATCAGGTACCCTTGCTGCGCATGCTTAATAGGAAGTCGGACTATACCACTTTGCCATACCGAAGGGAGATATTTTCTATGTTTTAAAGTTTAAAACTGATTCCTGATATTAGACTTATATTATCCCGGGTATTAACAGAATATATAAGTAAGTTTAGGGTGGCGGAAGATTAAAGGACCAGAGGGGAATACGGGCGAAAGCGGAGCGGGGTGTGGGCTCTCCCCTTCACAGATAATGGGAGGAGCCTGGGGAGAGCAAGTTCTTTCCTTTGGCCCCTGCGGTCGCAGCCATGAGGTAAGGGCTCTCGGGTCTCTGATATTGATTGATTCTGGCTGCGGCCGCACTGCGGGGCTCGGTACCGCAGCCCGTGCTGGAAGAGACGGGGTGGAGGCGGCCCTGAAGCGGCGCCTCCCGGAGCTTGGGATAGGCCGGAGCACACTAGCTCCCAGCCTTGAGAGGAGTGGGTGGGGGAGCGTTCCCGGAACTCTAGGACGGGGGAAAGGTGGGCTTCGCTCCCCACACGTGTCTGAGGAGACCCACGCGGGCAGAGGAAAGGCGGCGGCGGGGACTGGGCTGTTGGCCCCCTTACTCACTGGGCCGATCTTTGGCTCCGAGCCGATCTCTGCTTCCATGTGACGTAAGACAGGTCGCGAGTAGGCCCCAAGCCTCCGACTTTATTACTGGGATAAGAAAGGGAAAAAGAGCCCAAGAAGCAAAGGACTAGATTAACTAGCAAATCAGGCCCACTGGCCTCGGATTCTTCACGTTGAACACTTGTTTTTAGTGTTGGGTACCAGAAAGGGCATAAGCCCCATCTTCATTCCAATTGTATCCGTTAGTCTCATTTTCCAGAGGAGAAAACTGAGACACAGAATAAGACATAACCTAGAGGTTGTCGACATCCCAGGGTGGGCTGTTCCCCTACAGGAACGCACAGGCAAAGCTTTACAAAGGTCTTGGTATAGGGAAGATTGTTAACCTGGGGCTGCGTCGTGGGTGGCAAAAGTCTGGGGGGACATGTTTGTCTTTAGTACTAAGTGCATATACACATGCACCTCCCCCCCATGTTTCACAGCATTAGAAGACTTTGAAGGGCAGGTCTTGTTGGGGATGCTCATTCTTGCCCAGGAATGGTTTCCAGGACCTGATAGCGTTTTCTGTTTGTCGCAGTATGCTCAGGCTTCAGAAGAGGCTTGCCTCCAGTGTCCTCCGCTGTGGCAAAAAGAAGGTCTGGTTGGACCCCAATGAGACTAATGAAATCGCCAATGCCAACTCCCGTGAGTTCTTGGGGTCTAAGTTCCTTCTTCATCCTACCCCTTTCTCATCCTTTGTGCAATGAAAGTTGACACGATTGTGTTGACTGTTAACAAACCTAGGAGAGCTCATAGTTTGGGGGGTGGTTTATAAAATGGAGGAGTCACAGAAATATGG